CATCTTCCATCCGCCTCCCCGTCTCTCTCTATTTATTTCAGAATCCCTTCACCTCCCCTATTTCTGAAGAAGGGTCCAGACCCGAAACGTCAACCTTCCTGCTCCTCTGATGCTGCTTGGCCTGCTGTGCTCATCCAGCTCTACACCTTGTTATCTCACTTGATTTGAGATCTTTGTAGCTGTAATTTCAAGAAGAGTCAATGGGTGGCAGCACCATTCCTGGTTGAATCAATGACATTAAGCATCAATTGTCATTTGAAACCTTCTCATGAACCCCAGTCTCTCCCCAGTTGATCGCAATTGGACTTTCTTCAAACTTTGGCACTGATGGCATAGAGTTTAGCATCAGTGTTGCTCTCTCTATAGTTTTTTTTCTGTATTTGAAGCGAGTTGGTGGTTCTGTCAGCTTGTTTCAATCAGCAGAAACAATACCAGCAGCAATTAGTAAATTACAGCAGGTACATCACCTTAATGCCTCGTGCAGAAGTTTGCATCTCACATTTACAGTAGTAAAAGGATCGTTGTAGCTATGCACTCTCTGCCAGTACATCTGTCTGAAAGGTGCCAGTGATCCATCTTTATGGAAAATCTAATATCAGCATTGATATTACTCAGATGTTTCACAGTGTTTTGAACTGACTGACTGGTCCAACTGGTTGGCAAACATAACTTATGCTTTCAGTGAACCTCCCCCGTCCTGCTTTGTCTAACCCTATCAGTGTAGCTTTTTACCCTTTTCTCCTCATGCACTTATCTAGCTTCATCTTCAATGCATCAATGCTGTTTGCTTCAACTATTACTTGTTGTGAGCATTTTTCACATTCTGTTCACTCTGCATGATGAAATTTCTGCTGAATTCCTAACTGGATTTATTAATGACTATCTTCTATTGACTCACCCACCCCACAGACACTCACAATGCACACACACCTTTCATTATATCTCGCCTACAAGCCCTTTACTAAATGTTTTCATTGTTGTTTTTTATTCACTCCTTACAATGCTCATTCAGGGGTCAGTTGGTGAAGACACAATGGGCTGAATGGATTCCCTCTGTATGTAGCAGTTCCCTGATTATCCCTCTCTTTTCGAGAGAGAAGTAAATGTAGAATTCAAGTAAAGCAATAGAAATTGATGGAAATACATAACATCTGTAAGGGTGATAATGTAGATTATTGTTAACTGTGTATAGATGATGAGTTCTGAGGAAGGGTCACTGGACCCGAAACGTTAACTCTGTTTTCTCCTTCACAGGACCTGCCAGACCTGCTGAGCTTTTCCAGCGACTTTGTTTTTGTTATAGATGATGAGCATTTGTCTGAACCCTAATAAAAAGAGACAAATGGAGTGCTGTTGTGGCATAGTGGCATTGTCCTTATCTCAGAGCCAGAAGCTTCAGGTTCAAGTCCTGTCTGCTCTGGAGTTGTGTGAAAGAATACTGAAACCGGTTGATTTAAAATAACAAATTAAAACTGTGGTTGCTAGTTTAGGAGATATATGCTTGTACAATATAACTTTTTAAAAATCATGTATAGACCGGCTCTGATTATATCCTTCAGTGAGTAGTTTTCTTCAATACAGACCTTTTGTTGGAATAAAATTTAAGCAGAAGATCTACACCTCAAGTATTAATGTCTTTTCAAGTGTTCGCAGACATGTTTCTTTTCCTGCATTTTCTTTGTTTTTCATATTTTCAGCTATCTCTTTTTAGCTCAGTGCAGCTTAGCTTTCTCCCTCACCAGTATTGAGAGGATTTGGCTCTCAGGAAAGATTGAGCTGACTTGGATTCTTTTATGTACTGTAGAGAAGTGAATACTAAGGAGACTTGGTAGATCATTGTGCTTTCTTTTACGAAGATGCTTTATATTTATTGTTGGTTAGGCGGCTTCCTGTTTTGAAGGATTGTAGAAATTTGACTTATTTCAAGTTTCGTGAAAATATCCGGAGTGGTTCCTTTAAAAGAGCTCATTGCAAGTTCACTGTGGGCTTTTTAATCAAGGCTTCCTGTGCTTATTTTGTTGAAGACCCTGCTGGGGGTCTTTTGAACAGTGACTTAATTGGAGAGATGCTTGTTTTATCTGGTTCATTTGGAGGGAAACCTGCTAAGAACATGTTGAGTTGGAGGAAAGCATGTAAAGCTACCCAGTCGAACTTTTTTATTTCTGAATATAAGAGTTCAGGGTGAAACCTATTAACCCTTTTGACAGTGTGATTGCAGAAACATCTCAAGATTGTATTTCCTGAGCAAGCAGCGTCTGAAGACTTCAAAAACAGTCATGTATGATGAGTGACTTGACCACGCTAGCCAGAATATTAGAGCAGCAGGCTCTGAAACATTCTGCTTGTTAGCCTTTGCTATCGAGAGTAACCCATTGACCAAAGTGTTTCTGTTTTCAGAAAATGAATCATTTCAAAGAAATCTTTTTTTTTTATTCTTCTGAAGAGTGAGCGTGTGTGCGTGTGTGTGCATGTGTGTATATGTATTTGAGGACATTAGTGAGATAAGTATTTATACTCCTGACAGTGTATGTCAACCACTAATTGCATCTTCAGTGTATGAGTTTCTTGTTTCGATAATAAACCTACAATTGTGGTTGTGAAGAAACTTGATTGATTGAAGTTTTTGTTTAAATCCTGATTAGTTGGCATCTTGGTAACTGGAAAAGGTATTTTTTAATTCCTCCAGCCTTGGTTGTAACAATTCAGTTGAGTGAATGTGGTGAAACTTTTCCACTAGTTCAGAACAAGTGGACTTTAACATAAGATAGCAGCTAATACATCAAATAAAAAAAGAGGACGGTGTGAAAGTACAAATATGCTGCCACGTGGATTGGTTGAACGAGGAGTAGGTGGCCTGGTCATAATGTTGTTGGACTAGTGACCAGAACCCTAGGCTAATGCTCTGGGGTCATGGGTTCGAATCCCACCATGGCAGGTGGTGAAATTAAGTATGGAATTCAAAATCAGTCTCAGTAATGGTGACTATGAAATGATTTTTGAAAAAGCAGATACCATTGTAATGTTTAAGAAGACAATTGGCACATGCATGAGGAAAATGGAGGGCGGGGACCGTAGAAATAAGTAACTCAATGGGAGGAAGCTCATGTGAGGCATTTACAAAGCAGAGACCATTTTGGCTATTTTTATGATGTATGAATGCTATCCGGTGATTTCACCCTGAATAATAGATACAGCAGCAGCGTTAACTTTTGTAAAATAATGTGTGTTTGTAAGCGTGTACTAATTTCTCTATTAAACTATCCAGACGAAGGAAGGAAAGACATGAACAACCTAGTGGGTTTTCGAGAAGACCAGATCCGGAGTCAGATGAAGATGATGATGAAAGAGAAAAAGAAAGGCGAAAAAGAAGTAGGTGCCATTGTGGTCTTTCCAGCTCAGTGTTGTTACTGTTATTTTCAGTTTCTTTTTCACTCTGAGATCGCCAGTTGTTTCTGCCTGGGCAAAAAGTTTTCACCAATTGAAAGTTCTTTATTTTGTTGTACTTTAGGTATGGGAGGAGCAGCAATTGCCCCACCTTCATCACTTGTCGAAAAGGACAAAGAACGTACGTATAATGAATGTCACTGCATCTAAATTTGTTTTTGTTATTAAATATCTTTCTCTGATGTTAGTTAAATATTTTGTAAAGATGTACTTCCTCCGGTACAGGTGTATCAATGGCTTGGAGGTGGTGGTGTTTCTGAGCACTGGCTCCTTTAGTTTTCCTCGGTTTTGTTTGTTTGGGACTACGGAATTTTTAATGAACCAGTTCGAACATATCATGACACACCTCCAAACCAGGTGGGGTTTGAAACTGGATCTCCTGTCCTGGAGGTGGATACTACCACTATGCTAAAAGAGCCCTCATAGAATTTCTGTGTATGTGGTATCAGAATGTTTATGTCAAGGATCTTGCTTCTTGTGTGTTTTGGGATTTCTTGAAATTTCTATTGGGGACTTGCTCTATCATAATTGAAACTTTCTGTGTAATTTGACATGCCTCACTTGCTGGTTTTTATGCAGCTTTGCAAGTTTGGAAATCCTTCCACCAATGGGCTCAATGATGTTCCACTTTCCAGTTTTTAGCGAAGGATCATCATCACAAAGGTTAACTTGTCTTTACAGATGCTGATGGGTCTGCTGTGCATTTCCTGTTTGTCTTTCAGGTTTCCACTGTTTACATTTGCTTTTAGTTTCAAAGTGGATTTTTACCTGATCTCAGACCTACATGCTTTCCTGACCCTGTTTTGAAGATCTCTTGTATTGAAAGAAAAGAATTATGTCTAATTAATGTGCAATAATTCAAACTCTTCGACATGCAGAAAGAGCTATTCACAGAGAAACCTCTGAAGAACATGCTGTGAAATTGGTCAACTACCTCAAACTTCAGGAAAAGCTTCAAGGAGGCAGTTCAATGTAAAACAAAAAGGAAATTGAGATTTTGCAGAATGATGAGGTGATGATCTAAGTGAACTGTTTAAGATTGTTGAAGAATCATTAGACGGTCATATAGTGGCAGTGTCACTGGATTAGTCATCTAAAGAGCAAGGCTCATGTTCTGGGAACATGGGCTCAAATCCAACCATGATAGCCTGTCCAATTTAAATTCAATTAACCAAAAATTCACCCGATTCATTGATTTTTTTTTTTTAAGAAAGCACCAATTGAAAAGCTTGTCCCAATAATGGAACCATGAGACAATGATGGATTGTCGTAAAAACCCATTTTTTTTCACTAATATCCTTTAGGGAAGGAAATGGTCACTCTTGCCTGTTCTTGCCTCCATGTGACTTCAGAACCACTGTCATGGCCGCTTTGTTGTGCCAAATTGCCACAGAAAAGGCAAAAGAGGAATAACACTGACAGACCAGTTAGCATCAAGTTGGATGCCAAAAAAGGCAAAGACACGCACCCAGCCCGATTAACCATTCAAAGTTTTCTTTGCTAACATCTGAGGGTTTGTGCCAGAATTGGGCGAGCTATTCCACAGATTAGTTAAGGACAGCTTAAATAGTCATACTCTCAGAATCATACCTTGCAGTTACCAACCTGGACACCGCCATCAAAATCACCTTGTTATGGCCTATCCCACCAGCAGGTCTGACCCATTAGACGCAGCTGTGCCACTATGGTTATATGTAGTCAGGAGGGAACTGACCTGGTGGTCTTCCACATTGTCATGAAACCTCATTGGGTCCAGAGAGAATGTGTCAAGCATGAGGAGGAAAATCTCCTGCTGATTACTGTGCACTTCCTTCGAGAGAAAAACGGGACTTGTAGTACCACAGCTCACCAAGATGGCTGGATCATGAAGGATGTACCTGCTGGACTTGACCTGTGGGCAGATGGTGAGAGAAGCAATGAGGGGAAAAGCTATTTGACCTTATCTTCACGGATCTACTTATCACAGTTACAACTGTCCTTGATTGGAAGGAGCGACCTTCCATTTTCACATTGAGGATATTCTCGCTTATACACTGTGACGCTAACAGTGTGCTAAATCTGATAGGTTCGGAGTAGGCTGAGTTGCTCAAAATTGGTCAAAATGAACTCCTGAAATATTCTGGAGATTTTTTTTTCCCCAGAAACAAAATGTAAAACTGCAATTGTTTCCTATACTTCTGAGCAAAATTTGTATCTGGAGTGTTAATTTGCGGTTTCCCTTTTTTCTCAAAAGTTATTCCACCTTTCCAGTATGAGGATGAATCCAGATCTCGTAGTGCACCTAGCAAGGCTGCAATTCCCCCTCCAATTTATGAAGAGCCTGAGAGACCACGATCCCCACCTGGTCCCACCAACTCTTTCATTGCAAATATGGGGTAGGTGCAAAATGAAGCTAATCTCTTTCATAAAATTCGTAGTGTCGATTTTCATTTGAAACTTTTATAAGCAGGATTGATATTATGCAATATCCTGATATTATTTGCATGCACTGCTCAGGGTACACATATTCTACAACTCAAAACAGTTTATGTGCAATTCAGAGTAAAAATTATTTTAAAACTAGCTCATCTCTTGACTCCCCATAGCCAGTCTACAATCTGCAAGTCAAAAATTAGGGATATAATGGAATATTCCCCACTTGCCTAGTTGACTGCTGTTCCAACAACACTCAAGAAGCTCAAGACAAAGCAACCCATTTCATTGGCACCACTTCCACTAATTTAAACATTTGCACCCCCATCTACAGAGCACAGTGGCAGCAGTGTGTACCAGATCTCAAGATACAGTGCAAAAACTTATGAGGAGGTGATGACATGATGCTAATGTCTTTAGACTAGTAACGAGAACCCCAGGCTAATGTTCTAGGTGGAGAGTTTTGATCCCATTATGGAAGGTCACGAGATTCAAAATCAGAACAAATCTGGAATAAAAAGCTAGCCTAATGGTGACCACTGTTAATTGTTGTTAAAAACCTGTCTGATTCACTAATGTCCTTTAGTGTTATGGTCTGATCTACATGACTAGACCTACAGCAATGTGGTTGACTCTTAACTGCCCTTTGGACAATCAGGCAGCACATCCCATAAACAAATATTTTAAAAAGTTGCCAAGGATTCTTCAATAACACGTCCCAGACCTGCGTTTAGGTTCACTAGGTTGATTCCGGAGTTGAGGGCGTTGGCTTATGAGGAGAGACTGAGTAGATTGGGATTATATTCATTGGAATTCAGAAGATTGAGGGGGTATCTTATAGAAACATATAAAATTATGAAGGGAATAGATAAGATAGAAGTAGAGAGGATGTTTCCACTGGCAGGTGAAGCCAGGACAAGAGGGCATAACCTCAAGATTAGAGGGAGCAGATTTAGGACTGAACTGAGAAGGAATTTCTTCACTCAGAGGGTTGTTAATCTATGGAATTCCTTGCCCAGTGAAGTAGTTGACGCTACTTCAGTAAACATTTTTAAAAAAAAGGTAGATTTTTTTTTAACAATAAAGGAATTAAGGGATACGGTGAGAATGCGGGTAAGTGGATCTGAGTCCACGAAAGGATCAGCCATGATCTTACTGAATGGCGGAGCAGGCTCGAAGGGCCAGACGGCCTACTCCTGCTCCTAGTTCTTATGTTCTTATGTCCTGAAACAAGGGCAGCGGGCTCCTGAGAATGTCCCATTCTGCATGCCATCTTGACTTAAAACCGTATCGTCATTTTCATTGTCACTGGGTCAAATGTTAAAGTTGCTAGGCTTTGTTGTATTGGTCCATCATATCTGCTTCTGGTGTCTGTATTGGGCAGATATTTAAATTTCTAAATTTCCTTTGATTCTGTGGGGTTCACCTGATGGGTTAGGTTAAATTGCCGTCAATATTCTCAGAACTGCAAGCATGGTATGTATAGTAATTGACTATTCCAACGACTACTGCTCCTTTTTCTGCTCTCACCATTACGTGGCATGTTAATCTGAAAAATGCTTTTCTCCCCAACAAGTGTAACCTATGCTAGGGAATTGTGTAGACTGCAGACAAACATATATCACATATAGTTGTCAGTCTCGTATTAAGACAGTTACATTTTTCTGATTTTAGATAGAATTTTGCAAAATTTTTTTCCCTTTTTGATTGCTTGCCTGCATTATGATGTTGCATGGTGACTACTACTTCTGCTGGGATTTATATATTTCCCACTGTTCCTGAGAAGCGACTTTGCTAATGGAAATTGTATCATAACATCAATCACACAGAGCAGGCTGGCTTCGAGTTAATATGGCTGCAGTTTATATGACTGTTTGCTTGCCTTGTGACACTGTGTTGCAGGCATATGAATTTAATTTGGCATGCCTAATGAACTGACCAGGTAGGGCTGCATAGAGTGTACTGCCATATTCAGCAAAATGTGGGTCTTACAACCTTACTGAAAATTTTTTAATGCAGAAACAAATCAAGGAAATAGTGAAAACTTGTATTTATATTGAACTTTCGATGTAATAAAACTTGCCATGGCACTTGATAGGAGTGTTATTAAAATTTGACGTCAGGTTTGTCAGGGTAAGTGACTAAAAGCTTAGTCAACGAATGTGATTTCATTGAATTGTAAAAGCAAAAAAGTCATACAATCCATACGGTGTGGAAGCAGGCCTTTCGGCCCATTGAGTCCACACTGATCGTTCAAAGAGCAGTCCACCCACTTCCGTATCCTTATAACCCTGCATTTCCCATGGCCAATCCGCCCACACTGCACATCCCTGGATGCTGGGCAATTTAGCCTGTACATTTAACCTGTACATCATCAGGCTGTGGGGTGAAACCGAAGCACCCGGGCGAAACCCACACAGACACGGGGAGAACATGCATCCTCCACACAGACCGTCACCCGAGGCTGGATTCAAACCGTGGTAGAGCTAAAGACAGATGTTGTGGGCTATGATATTGAATGTATTGTATGTCTTGGACAAGACATGATTGCTGACCTGAAGAGATGAAATCTCTTGTCTAACCACTGAGTTGGAATATTTTAAGTCCAGTCGCTGTTGTCATGATTGCGCAACGTACTGCAGTTTACTGCCAAATCGAAGCTTCATTTACAAAAGCCATGTGGATTGCTGGTAAGGGAGAAGGGACTGAGACCTTTTGTGCAGTAGGGAAAGCATTTTGAAAGCATTGGCAACATGCGTCAGCCTTCAGAAAAAAGGGATAAAACATCTTAAATATTGCAATCGCGAATTCCAGAGATGTTGAGTTTACAAACTTTTTTTTAAAAATAGAGGCACGGTGGCACACAAAATTATGCAGAAATATGGCTTCCGCGAAGGGCAAGGCCTCGGGAAGCACGAACAAGGGTTGAGCACTGCACTGTCAGTGGAGAAGACAAGCAAACGAGGAGGAAAGATTATTGTCGGCGACAGTGCAGAAAAAGGTACCTACACACACAAGGTTGTATTACTGAGCCATATTCAAATATTGGTGATTTTATCAATGCTGCTCTGCCTGCAATTAAAGATATTGAATGAATATTATTAACTATAAGAATTTTAGAATAATAGACTTCATGTAGCTTTTAAGGTTTGTGATTGGATCTCCTGTGTTTATTTAAAACTGCCTCCTGTCAAGGTTGTGGCTGTTCATTGTGACAGAAATTTGAGTCAATTTATAATTAGCATTTGAATGTTGTGCCTTCCATATGCAAGCTGCGCAGGAGAACAGAAGGGCTAAATCAGTGGGTGCTAGCAATGATTTAAAAATAACAGAAGCAATGCTTTGTAAGGTCAATTTGGAGAAAGGTGTTATGTATCTATTAAAGAGATGTTTTAACTGTTCATTTTTCTTACTGAAAATCACTTTATAGATCATTGGAAGATTTCTTTATGAAATATTTCCCTTACTTACAAACTATTTTTCCACTTTTAATGTCCACAACTTGATCATTTGAATTATCCAGTTCTCTGTAATTAACTTAGCATTATTAGCTTTTTTAAAACAAGCCACCTCCCAGAAATTGCTGTTGTCGGTAAGATTCTCCAGCACCATATCCTGAAGCGTTTATTTACAAGTATGTGTAACATAAATGAAATGGAACTCGCCTCAATATAAAACATTAAAATCACTGGTGAAGAAAAGAGAGGAAAAGGCCAGAAACAATTTGCCTGACATTTTAAGCACTAAACTTATTGAAATAAAAGCAAAGTGTGGCAGAAACTGGAGACTTGAAATAAAAACAGAAAGTACTGGAGAACCTCAGCAGGTCTGGCAGTAAGGGGAGAGAGAAAACAGAGTTAACTATATTTTAAGACCATAAGATATAGGAGCAGAAGCAGGCTATTCAGCGTATCACAGGGTCTGTTTCTGTGCTGTATAACTTGATAACTGTATGAGTCTGCTCTGTCATTCAGTGTGATCATGGCTGATCATAAGACGTAGGAGCAGAAATTAGGCCGTTTGATCTATCGAGTCTCGTCTGCCATTCAATCATGGCTGATAATTTTTTCAATCCCATTCTCCCGCTTTCTTCCCATAACCTTTGATCCCCTTGATGATCAAGAACCTATTATCTCTGTCTTAAATACACTCAATGACCTGGCCTCCACTGCCCTCCGTGGCAGTGAATTCCACAGATTCACCACTCTCTGGCTGAAGAAGTTTCTCTTTACCTCCGTTCTAAAAGGTCTTCCCTTTACTCTAAGGCTGTACCCTTGGGTTCTAGTCTCTCCTGCCAATGGAAACATCTTCCCAACTTCCACTCTATCCAGGATGTTCAGTATTCTGTAAGTTTCAATTAGATCCCCCCTCATCCTTCTAAACTGCATCAAGTATAGACCCAGAGTCCTCAAATGTTCCTCATATGTTAATCCTTTCATTCCTGGGCTCTAATAATCCTCAACGTCACTTTCTTGCCTTTTCTCCATAACCCTTACTGATTAAAAATCTGACAGTCTTAATCCTGTATGCACTTAACGACCAGTCTCCACAGCCCTCTGTGGTAAAAGAAATTCCACAAATTTACCACTCTCCAACAGAAGGAATTCCTCAGTTTTAAAAAGACGATCCCTTATTCTAAGATTCTACCCTCTGGTCCTAGACTCTCCCACAAGAGAAATAATCTTTCTACCCTCTAAGAATCTTGTATGTTTAAATAAAGTCGCTTCTCATTTGTCTAAATGCCAATGACTACATGTTCAACCTACTGTATTTCATTAGACAGTCCCTCTATACTTGGGATCAGTCTGCTGAATCTTCTCTGGTCTGCCAACAATAGCAATATATCTTTCCTTAGGTAAGGAGTCCAGATCTGTAGACTGTTTCTATCAACCAATAAGGCAGCTCACCACCACCTTCTAAAGGGCAACTAGGGATGGGCAAGAAATGCTAGCCAACCAGTGACACCCACATCCCACAAATGAATAGAGGAACCTCACCACTCACCTTCGCACGCATTTTTGTGTCATCTGCAAACTTGCCTGCAATGCATTTACTTTCCGTGCCTAAGTCATTAATATGTATTGTAAATAATTGTGACCCCAGCACTGATCCCTATGGTTTTGATTCAGATATGACTGTTCCTTGGAACTGAAGGGAATGTAGTATGATCGTTTTATGTTGACAAAGTGGGTTTTATGCTGTTGACATTGAGGGAGGAGGAGTGAGTTGAACAGACGCTGACGGTGCAAACAGCAAAAGTAGAGTAGAAGAGCAACACAGATGCAAGTAAATATCGAAAATAGGTTAGCTTTGCTGAGAGAAAACCCATGCAAACTAGAGATGCTGTTCCTTTAACCAAATAAAACTCCAATAAAACACCAAACATTCCCAGTCTTGCTGTATGATTCAATGCCAACACCCATGTGAACCATGTGATTTGCCTTCTCAGTTGTCTCTTGTGGAAACCACTTTGCAGAATCACAATTAAAGGATAGTTCTAACGTAGAAGGAGACCATTCAGCTTATGTGTCGGCTGGCTCTCTGATAAAGCAATTCACCGATTGTCATTTGCTCACTTCCTCCCTGTGCAGCTGCACATTCTTTCTTTTTAAATAGCCCTCTTGAATGCCTTGATCGAACCTGCCTTAAGCACTCTCTCAGTAGCGCATTCCAGATCCTAACTACTCACAATGTGAGGAGATTTTTCTTATTTCTGCCATTTCTTCTTTTACCAATTACATTATATCTGTGTCCTTCTGATCTTGATGCTTCTGGTAATGGGAATAGTTTCACAATATTTCAAGCGCATGTAATTTTGGACCTTGGAAGGATTCTGGCTGTTTTTAGAATTTGGGGCATGTAATCTTGCTCTATTATTTCATTTTGTTCCAGTGGATAAAGTACACAGTGCATTGACTTTCACAAGTTAGCTTTGTAGATTAAAGTGTTCCTCACTAAAACTTGGTAAAAGTCTCAATACATGAATTTATAGTGATTTCTTGATTTGCTAACAGTAGAAATGCCTGCCACCACCAAGAAATCAGAAGCAAACCCATTGACGGAGATCTTGAAAAATCCCACAAAAGTGGTCTTATTACGGGTAAGGAATGAAAGTTTTAACTTGTTTGCTTTTTTTAAACATTTTTGTTTAGAAATCTGCAAGTTCATTCAAAAAATGCATATATTTTTGTCATATGCATGTGGCTGCAGTTCGTATTTCATATATTCTACACATCATTCATATGAAAATCCTAAATTGTAAGCATTTTTTCAGTGTAAAAAAGACCATTGTGTAAGTCTTACTGCTGTTAAAAGCTACCAAGTGGCTGATACTTGTTTGTGTTGGAGTGTCAGTTGTAATTCTGTTTTGCAGTTGATTAAAATTCTGTGAATCTGTGACACATTCAGTTATCAGAATGATCACAGTTCTTTTATCTCTTATTCACATTTAACTTGAAGCAAGTAATAGAGCTACAAATTAACTTCTGGAACAGAAAGTCACTTGGTTCATTTATATTTTACGTAGAATATTACATTTTTCTGTGGAACTTGTTAGATGGTGACCATCATTAACTACCAAATCTGGAAGCAATATACATGCAATAGTTTGTATGTCATATTGTTGGTAAATATTTAACTATAACTTCCTGTTCTCTGAAACCTCTATTAATATCAGTGAGTTATTGATTCTTAATTATTGATTGTTATTTTGTATTGAATTATTTTCCACAACTATAATTAACACTGAGAGCATGCTTTATGACAGGATAGTTAAAATTTGAAGATATAGTATATACCTGTTGCTAAATGGGAAGCCTCAATTTTATCATGCTTGTGGGAAAGATTTTTAATTGAACAGCAGAGCAGCAAAGGCTTTGACATTCAAAAATGTATCTCAACTTTTGCCATTGAAAGTTCATTTTTATGAAGTGTACAGGTTTTGCGTATTTTGCAAAGAAAACTGCACTTTTGAACAAGAATGTTGCTGGCGATTGCTGGAAGTTTAATTGATTTGGTGTATTGAACCAATAAAGAGAATATTGAATTTAGAAGTCACTATAAAATATATTTTAGTAAAACGTGTACTGCATGAATCAAGCTTGATGCTGGCCTCACTTGTATAGTCCAGTACCGTTCCATATTCATTAGTCTGTATTTGGTTTGTTATTTTTAGAACATGGTGGGGGCTGGAGAAGTCGATGATGACCTGGAAGGTGAAACCAAGGAAGAGTGTGAAAAGTATGGAAAAGTGTCCAAATGTGTCATATTCGAGGTACGAACTTTGCTGATATGTACCTTATATTGTTAGACAGGAGGGCAGTACAAATCCTATTTATGACCCTGTGAGGCAGCTCTCCTTCCCTTCATCAGATGTGAACATTGCTGGCGAATGTTGACTTTGATTGCCCTTGAAGGTGCTGGTGACAATAGGAGCAACTTGCTAGGTTGTTTTAAGAGACAGTTAACATGCAAGCTCATTGCTGTGGGTCTGGATTCAAGTATAGCCCAGACTAGGCAAGGGCAACAGGCTTCCCTCCCTGAAGGACGTTAGTAAACTGTTTGCGTTTTTACAACAGTCTAGTCGTTTCATGGTCACTATTATTGGTACTAGTGCTTTTATTCTAGTTTTATTTTGTCCACTGCATTTTCATTTCCCTGCTATTATAATGGGATTTGAATTCATAGCTCCAGAATATTAGCCAAACTCTCTGAATTACTAGTCCAGTATTATAACAACTGTGCTTCCATACCCATAAATTCAGTTTTATCTCAAATTGAGTCAAAACAATTGCAGTTTCTATTATTAATCAGGCTCATCAGCTTGAGAGGCAAAGTTTCTACAGTGAAACTGGCCCAACATGTTTACTCCAACAGCACATTAGACCACAGTACCAGACTTATTTGAGGACTGTATATCTATAAAAGGGAAGAAAATGGTTAACATTCAAAGAAAATTTTAAAATAATCTTTCTCTGTCCTTTCTTTGATATCTTGTACTCACTCCACTCACTTTCCAACACAACTTTACTGCATTTCAAAGTGATTTATCATGGGTGGGTGTATCACATGGATACATTTCGGAGAGACATGGTCATCACATAAATTACAACACTTACCAAGGCCATTTGGCCCAAGCAGTTGGTGTTTATCTTTCACATTAACAATGCTGCAGAATCCCATGTGTGGTCCTGTGTTCTAATAAAAGCAGCTCTAAATTTTCAAAGTCTGCATTTGCTGTCAACACAACGCATTTGAAGAAGTAATTCATGCCATTGAAATAAAATAGAGAACTGTGGACTCTGAAGACCTGAAATAAAAGCAGAAATTGTTGGAGAAACACAGGAGGTCTGACAGCATCTGTGGAGAGAGCTGAAGAAGAGTCACTGGACTGGAATTGTTAACTCTGCTTTCTCTCCACAGATGTTGCCAGACCTGCTGAGTTTCTCCAGCAATTTCTGTTTTTGTTATTATATCACTGATTTGGTAACCAAAATGCACAGACTTCCACCAGAGGGCAAGGGGAATGGGGAGTGGGGAGTGGAGAAGGGGGTGACAAGGGCAATGGAAAAAGAGTGGTGAGTAGATTGTTGAGGGTGTCAGGGATATAGAAAGTGAGACAGCAGGCAGCGGGACAAGGGCCAGTCTGTTTCACACTGTCCTCCTCTACAACTAGGCTTCATTTTTGCTTCTCTGTATATTCTTCTATGAAAATCAGTGACTGACTGATTAGGCACTAGCAACCACAATCCACCGTGGACATTAAATTTTTTATTTCAAAAATACACTTAATTCATAAATTATCTATAAGTAAATACAGCAGGTACAAAACAGGTCTCTACAGACTTTGCGGAAAATACAGTGGAGTTTTGACATTCTTCATTAGACCATCAATCCGTTGCAACAAAAGAGGTGTTTTCTGAAATTATTTAAATTCCCATTGAGGCTACAAGTTATCTCAGAGTAACAGGCCCTTATGCTTTTGGCAGAAAGACCTTAGCCTGTGCCTTGGTGGCAGCTGCCCCAAACTTTAGCATGTCTCTCTGCATGCAGTCCTGGCCCTTGGAATGTGCCAGTCTGCAACACTCAATTGAAGTCAGCTTTGTGCACTGGAAGACCAACAGTTTCGGGTAGACCAAAGTGAGACTTTCACTGAGTTGATGGTCCTCCAGGCATAGTTGATGTTTGTCTCGGTGTGCGTCCCAGGGAGCAGCCCGTAGAGCACAAGAGTCCTGCGTCCCAGAGCTGCTCAGGATGAACCTTGACAAAAATCACTGCATCTCCCTCCACACACACTTTGCAAAATCACATTCCAGAAGGAGATGTGTGACAGTCTCTTCACCACTGCAGCCACTTCGAGGGTGGCCTGCAGTGGCAGTATGGGCGTGTATGTAGGATGTGACGGGCAGTGCCCTTCTCGCCACCAGCCAAGGTGCTTGTGGGAAAGTCCTGGCAAAGATGCATTCTGCCAAATGACATTGATCAAAGGTGATCAAAGATCATATTTTAACCCTGTGCTCCTCTTTCCCACACCCTTAATATATAGTATTAAGACACAATATATTCATCCAACAACCCATCAAGGAAGCATGATTCATTTTAAACTAATCCCTAAAGAAATACTATTATGATTCCGAGATAACAAGGTGTAGAGCTGGATGAACGCAGCAGGCCAAGCAGCATCAGAGGAGCAGGAAGGCTGACGTTTCGGGCCTAGAGCCTTCTTCAGAATTTCTGATTTTCTGAAGAAGGGTCTAGGCCTGAAACGTCAGCCTTCC